TGGCTATAAGATTAATTTAACCTTATTTTTAATTAGTTGTTTTTGTTTTAAATGCTTTACTTTTTTTTTTGTTTTGTTTTTGTTTTTTTTAGAGTCCAGCTCTCCAGTCAAATGATGTAGGTTCTGTACCAGCAGAAGGAACTGTGTCTGCTTAAATGAAAATGCAAGACAGCAAAGCCTTACAACTTTTATTTTAATCTGAGTAGTTCAGGGTACTTATTACATCCAGACAATAATTCTTGTGAAAGTTTTTTTTATTATTTTTGAGGAACAACAAGCAAGTGCATGTTATTAACAACCAATGGCTAAAAAGAAATGAATATGTTTGCACTTTTTAAATATAAAAATAAAATTGTAATATGAAGATGTATGTTTATAGAAATGTTGAGGAAACCAGAACTGTTACTAACATTTTCTTTCCAGTTTTAATGAATAACAACGTATATTTTTAAGAATTGTTAGATGCCAACCTTGAATTATTATTGGTTTTTAACATGGAAGTAATATTGGCAGTCATATATATATGTCAGGGTTTTTAGAATAAACAAAAAAAAGTAACATTTAAATTGAAAGAAAACTGCCTTCTGTAATGCATGCAGTTTTCATTGTACAAATTTAGTGTTTTGGAAGTCCAAAGAAATAACTTATTTCTGTAAATGAACTCTTAACAGTCAAACATAGCAATTTTAAGTTTTATTTTCTAAGGTAAAAAAAAAAAGTATTTTAGTTGTGGCATTAAACTTGTACAGATCATCAAAAATTTGTAAAATGTGCATTTGCAATAAAACTTGATTCTGTTCATTGATATTTGTGTAAAACATTTTATGAATAAAATAAGCATATAGTAATGAATGTTTGGAGTATCACGTTGAAGTTTTAACACAATTTCGAGCACTATCTACACTGGATCCTGTGTAAAAGCTTTTGAATAGAATAAGGAACTGAATTAACTGGATGTAGATAATTTGACAAATCTATGCAATTAAAAGAACAATGTGTGACAGTCATGTTTGTATGCATGATAGCTCAGTTAGAAACCCATTATTCCTATTGCTAATTGTACAGTGGTACTTTCAAGTTATACGAATGTACAAAATTACGACTTTTATAACGTTAAAGACATTTACTTCGATAACATAAACACCCAAGGAAACAATAAAAATTCTATTTTCTACAAACCCATATCGAATGCATAACTTCACTTGAAGAAAACGGAAACCTGTGAACAAACATTTATTCCAAAATACAAAGCTATTGGGTATTTTCACGAAAACAATTTTTTTTAAATGCGGATTTTAGTGGGTATTTTGTTACATAAATAATTAACCATAGCGACTTGGGAAGAAAAACTTGTGTCTGAAAAGCCCACTTTGAATACAAATTTTTCATAGAAGAACATCAAAATCTATTATACAAAAATTTAAAGGCTTGGGTATTTTTACGAAAAAAAAATTATATAGTTTTAAAGTCGAGATGAGTGTGTACTTTAATGCAGCAACAATGCCCAATTTCAGATGGCCTAAAATCCGTGAAAAACAATAGAATTTAGATATTTTGAGTTTAATCAAAAATATATATCTTTTCACAAACCATAAACTAATCGCATCTTTCCTTAAAAATAGAATAAGCGAAAGAAGATAATAGTTTGACAAACACAAAACTAGAAAATAGAAATAATCTCAAGATGGCGATCATCCAGAAACACAGGGTGTTTATACAAAAAAAAATGTCTAGATATGTTTCGTATATATATAGTCATTCCACGTTTCTACAGTAACTTTAAATCTAAAACAACTTTATAGTCAGCTTAGTTAGGTTTTATTTCATCTCCAGCTACATAATACAACAGCATTATTTAGAGGATTTATCTATTTTTAAACGTATACTCTTATAATATATATATGTATAGTACTACACGTAAGTCATGTCTGATATGGCACAATATACGCTTTGTATGCGTGTAGTCGAGGGTTCAATCCCGTCTATAACCATTTTTTTCCGCAAACAATGTTTCGGTAGTCAATTTAAGTACGTGTATCGTATGGGAAGAATGAATTTATCTACTCTAGTAATTTAGTTCATTTATAAAAAAGAATTATTTTAGACGTGTAATTGATATTTAGAAGCTCGTGATTCAACTTTCTGATATCTTGTGTCCAGAGAGAAATGTACAGGAATAAAAAAGTATTTCTAACTAGAATGTTGCCGCTGACTTAAACATGAATAACTTGAGATATGTTTTTTTCTTTCTCCTTTCCTAAGTTTTTAAAATCAACTTTTAGATCAGATGATACCAGTTCCTTAGTGTGTGTGTGCACATTGATGGTAGAAAATTTAAAGCAAGAAAAATCTGTAAGATTTGAAACTTTTTAGAGCTAAGCAAAGAAAACTGGAGCTATTACACCGGAAAGATAAGTTTCAGAAGTTAATTACTGTCAGTGAAGATAGATACGTGTTTGTATTAGATGAGATCACTGCAGCTACACAGTAGAACTATTCAGTATTAGGGAAATCGTATAATGTAATTATTCTAGCTTAGTTTCTAAAGTTATTTAGAAAATAGAACATTTTCCTCTAAGAACTAGATGAAATTTACCATCTCAGGCTTATATTTTAACACTGACAGAACAATTATATTTCTAATTGTTTTTAAATGGAATAAGGGTTTAAAATCTTCTATTAATCAAATATAGTTCTCCTAGTAACTAATTAGTTCACGTAGATTTCACAAATGACTTTGAATGGCACAGAAGATCTGAAATTCTTACATTTTGTACTCGACAGTTTATTATAACTAGATGTAGTATAGTTCCATAAATTTACGAGTTATTAAAATCTGGTATTATTGAGTTTCGTTGCAAGCCTAATAATAGCGGAAGTCAACAATCCTGACTGTTTAAGAAATTCATAGTTGTATTTTTGGAAACATAGATAAAAGATTTGGAGGTTCCAGTGGAAATATTGACTCTTCCAGCATTAAAAAGCTATAAATACATTATGTAACTAAAGGAAAATAATTGTACTGTTAAGTTCTTATGTTTTATAATATTTCTGCATAATTATGGAATTAAGTAGGTGTGCAATTTGACTAATTTTTTGAGAGGCAAATTGCATACCCCGCTTTGTACTAGGTGAAAGCCCGACAGATCCGGTGAAAGTCTACAAGTAAATGTGAGCTGTCAGTCCATAACAGACTATCTCTTTTGGAAGCTCTTGTAATGCACGTTAAATGTCTTATCTTAAAAGTTTTGCAGGTTATTTTAAGGAAATTTCACTCCTCCGTCGTCTTTTTTTTCTCTTGAAAACACGCAGAAATTGGCTAAAAATATACGAAATCTCTGCGATGATTTTCATTAGCGTTCATTCTACAAGAAAATTATTGTAAAACAGGGGAAGTGTAGCAGTCGAGTCAAGAAACTTAGCAGAAATGGCAAAGCAGTTGCGTCAATTCTTGTTCAAAGCAGCCCATTTCACGGTAGAAATGTGGTCAAGATTTCTACTATCTGAATTTGGTAAATTTAATGCATAAAATTTAATAAGAATCTCGAATTTTGCTTCTACGGAAAACTATATTCTACATCAATAAGTAGAAATTACCCTAAAATATTTTAATTATGAAATACTTCTCTAATTCAGACATAAGCACTTATTCTAACACTAATATAAACCAAAAATTAAATGATGCTAATCAGGAAAGAGCGGGAAACTTAAACAGCAGCAAAATCTTTATTCTACACATTGTAACTAGGTACTTTATTGCTGTATATTTTCGCTCTTATTGGAAAGAAACCAAAATGTTAAATGTTTTATTTACAATCTTTGACTTGTATAATTTTGTTGTGGTGTGAGTTTTGTTCAAACTCAACTATTTACAATAGCTACTGCAGTAAAGGCCCCCCAGTGACACAGCGGTATGTTTGCGGACTTACAACGCTAGAAACCGGGTTTCGATACCCGTGGTGGGCAGAGCACAGCTAGCCCTTGTGTAGCTTTGTGCACAATTAAAAGCAAACTGCAGTAAAGATATAGAGTTTATTCTATAAAATATTTTCAATATATGAGAAAGTTTAATATGAAGTTGATTTGCTTTTGTACTACTAAGTTAACATACCAAGATTGTTTGTGCAGTGAATGCCATCTTTGTCATTGGAAGTTCAGCCTCTGGTGTAATAATTGTCATGTAGTGCAAAGAGATTTTGCTGGTCATAGAATGTGAAGCTATTTTCAACTAGCCTAACCTCACACTCATGTCTCTGCAGAAAATCAGATACCAGTATATATTGTTACGTATCTGCTTGTTCGATAATTTCCCGTAAAA